CCAGAAGAACGAGCATTACATGAACCACAACTATATCAATATACTCTCCATGCAAGATGTTATCAAATGTGGTCGTATTGGGTAAATATTTTGGACGCTGTTTGGCAAAGTGCAGTCATCTTTTTCATGGCTTATCTTTCTTATCAAAATGAATCTTTTAATAATGTATCATCGTTTGGTTTTTCGATTATATTCAGTATGATTGTAACATCTTTGATACATGTTGTTTTACAAACATCTCGAATTGATTGGTCATTGATAAGTTCGACAGCATTTAGTTTTCTTGTATTTCTTGGTTTTACATTGGTATTCGATGATGTCTGTGTTGTATGTATTCCAGGTGAAAGTCCATATCAAGTATCATATCAAGCACTTCGACAAGGTCGATTTTGGTTTACAAATTTATTGACAATTGTTACAGCAATGCTACCTCGATTTACTGTTAAATGTATTTATAATATGATGCGAAATCCATTAAATTAATATATTTGATTCTGTTTATTTTGTTATCATCGAATCCGGTTTCAATGACTATCTGAAAACTAAAGATAACTATAATGGTAGCTATTCTGACGAAACATTACTTCAAGGAGATCACAAATGAAAATATAAGACATATATATATTTTGTTGTGATTCATATATTGATCTGATTTTATCTTTTATCTCATGTATTTTGTTATATGTATTTATATACGAAGTTGTTTTTCTTTGTGGATATTTTTTATTTAATAAAATTTGGTTGAATTGAATACTATATTGTAAGATGTTTTTTATCTGATAAGAATCGATTGCAGTAGAAAAATATGCTATGAAGAACATATACTTCCTCTTTGCAAAATCCTTGTATTTAATCTAGCGACATCTTTTCATCAAAGAAAATATAGTTGTGTTTTTTTTCAGGTCTGGTTTTGAATCATTTCACATCATCGTATCAAATAAAAATCTATTTGATAGTTATCGACCAATAAAGATAAAAACCTTCTAGTTTGCACTAAATCATCGTCCGTTTTGATTCTATATTTTCATCTTTCGTAATTCTGTTTTCTCTTTAGTTTATATTTTATATAATCTAAAGGAAGAGAAATTTGCATGATTACCTAAATGATCATATTTATTTTTATTCAGATTAATATACATCCGAATGATCAATATAAATGGCAAACAAAAACAAGAAAGCACCCATACCTAAGTAAAATAAGAATTTAAACTTCATTTATAAAAATGATCATTTATTTCCATTTAGAAACGCAAACATTAGTCAAGATGTCGAAGACGATGATGATGAGGAGGAAACTGTTACCACTTCATTTCAATCGAAATTTGCTAATCTAGTTTCTGATGAAGAAAATGAAGGTGCAGATAATGATAGTGATGATAATGACAAAGATACAACAACAACAGCTAAGGTAACAACAGTATCAAGTTCTTCAAAAAAGAAATCAAATAAAAAGAAAGCTCAATCATCAAAAAACAAAAAAGAAGATGATGATATTGATTCTATATTAGCTGCTATTGAATCAACAAGTGTTTCAACAAAAAAAGGTGGAAATAAAAAAAATAAACAACAGACAACAACAACTAATGATGAAGGAAATATTAGGGAAGGTGAAGGACAAGATCTCGAATATATTTTAAAAGTATGAATTTATTTTAATAAGATATTGATTTTTCAAATATTATTTTTATTTTTCAAGGAAATTGATGAAAAATTTGATGAAAAAGATCGACGAAAAGAAAAAAAAGACAAGAAAAA